ATGACTTCCATTGTTCTATTCTGATTAATTTTATTGTTTTGTTTGGTTTGGTTTTACCCACTTTAAAATTTAAAAAAGGAAGATGGTGCAAAATGTGTTCAGGGTACCTGCAAATCATGATGAGCTGGAACGGCTAATTGGGGGCTTTTGTGAAATTGCAGCCCACAGGCTCACACCTGAGTGTGCACACCCATGCACAAGACACACCCAGTGCACAAAACTGGAACCTTGTGTGTGATACCCTGTGGCTTTTTCTGCTCTCTTTCCTTTGTGTAAACACTGGTGGCCATCCTCTGATTTTCTTTTCTTTTTATTTTTTATTTATTTATTTTTTGTACCAGAGATCAAACTCATGACCTTGCCCTTGCCAGGGCAGGCACTTACACCGCTAAGCTAAATCCTCAGCTCATCGTCTGATTTTCGAGTTATAGGGTCTGGAAAAGTGGAGACCACAGGGGTGAAGCAGCCCCCTTCTCAGGGGATAAGTTCTCCCAAAAACACAATGATGTCCGCCAGGACTGGCCTGAGTGACCTGAGGGAGAAGCTGAGCTGCCCGGTACAAACAATGGTCTCTCTACTATGGTGATAGCTTTCCCTGATAAATAAGGGCAATAAAAAGTTTAAAGTAGGACTAAGGTCACCCTGCAGTCCCCTGATGCCAGCTCTGGATACCAACCTGTGTGGATTGCCCCTCCAGCCTTAAATTCAAACATTTTATCCAGATTTTTTGAGATTCCTTAACTTGTATCTTTGACCTTAAAACCTATACGTGCTTAGTTCTTTCTTTAGATATTTACTGACACTCACTCCAGTGTCAGCCTGCTTGTAGGTAGAATGGTCTTTCCCACAGCTTCAGTCTCTGTGGTTCCTCATGTGCTGTTATTACATACCAACTCCACCCCACACAGAAACCTAGATAACACTGGGTTTCCTTATAGACAGGTGCCTGCGATAGCGCTGGACTTGCAAATTTGGCACAGAGACACATAACAGAGAAATTATAACAGGGTTCTACAATAAAAGTTACTTAAAACTTATAAACTGTTCATTTCTGGAATTGACCGTTTAATGTTTTCATGTCACAGTTGACTGAGGGTAACCAGAACTACAGAAAGCAAAACTTTCTGTAGAGGATGAGGCATTTGGAGCCAGACCCTAAAAATCTTGAGGTGCTGGGGGACCAGGCTGGCCCCATTTCCGTCCTGGCCTCCCGACCTCTCTGTGAAGGCTGAGGCAGCAAATGCCTGTCCTGCTCTCTGGCCCTTTCTTCAGTGTCCCATCTCTCTGCTCATCCTCCTCAGTCACCTGGAGGTGCTCCTCTTCCCAGCGGGTTCTTCCAGACCTGGGGTTGCTGAGCTCTGCCATGGGTGCCCCCACTCCACCTGCTCAGTCACCCAAAGGGCTCCACGCCTTGGCCCGAGTGGCAGCCCACTCTTACTGTGAGGTCTCCAGTCGCTCTCCACAGCCTGAGCCCTCTGCTGTGTTGGACCTGAACTGCTCCCGTGGGCCAGGTTGAAGGCGTGTTCCCAGACTGCAGTGCTGCAGGGAGAGGGTGGGCTCCTAGCAGTGGGGGGCTGAGCAGGAGGAAGTGAGGTCACTGGGGGCGTGGCCTTGACAGGGATATTAGGACCTGGTCTCTGCTTGTCTCTCTGCTTCCCAGCTGCCATCAGGGAGCAGTTTCCTCCTCCATGTGCTCCCACCAGCATGTGCTGCATTGCCCCAGGTCCACAGTAAAACCTCTGCTGAGGAATCTCACTGTCCTGTCACAGTGTGGAAACAAAGGCTAGGCGTGGCCTGGGTGTGTCCCTAGGCTGCTCACAACACGGTCGCATTAAAGCTTCTCCGTGGTGGCCAGGGCTACAGCGCAAGGTTCTGGCCCATGGAGCACATGGCACTGCCTCTCTTCACCTAGACGCACCACCCTTGCAGCAATGCCTGGGGGCTCTTGGCGGAAGCCCTTACACATGGGCCTGCCAAGAGGCAAGCAGGGAGGACACAGAGAAGCTCCTTGCCATGGAGGACTGTGGCATAAATGGAAAAGTGGTCCCGGGACAGCAGGGGAACAGAATGAACAAAGATGTACAGCCTTCCCTGGGTGCCTTTCACTTAATCTCTCTGAATATGACTAACAGAACTTGTCACCACACTGGGCCTACGGGTCCCTGAGGATGAAACAAGGAATTTAACCACCTTTTAAAAATAAATTTGCAAGTTTTCTGACTTCTGGTGCAGAAAAAGAATTTTCAGAATATAGCAGTAAACAGGCATAAGGAGGATTTCTAGAAGTAGATACAGGGTGGGCTCAAGAGGGGAGCACTGGTGCTCAGAGAGATGAGATGCGTTACAAGGCAGAGTAGGCATATTTAAAGGCTGTACAAACTATCTATAATCCCATCAGAGACCTCAGTGGTAAAGTGGTGGTGGTGGGTTAATCTCTGTGTGAAGTTACAATCTCTGAGATCTAGGTGACTGAGGGGATTTCACTGGGTAGAGTTTTGTTGTATGCAGAGTGTACAGTAGAGAGTAGAATGATATCTGTTGCAGTGGGTACCTGCTTGACCCAAGGGTTAGCTAGTTTTTAGGCTTGCTTTCTCTTAGGGTTCCCCCGACATTTTTGGATCATCCAGGCATGCTGTAAAGCAGAATCAAACTTAATATTGGGGTGGTAAGTGGAGCTGGATAATATCCAGAGCTCAAGGGAGCTGGGGTTGTCTTAGTGTCAGCATCAAACACTGAAAAGCATAACTAACAGTTTAAAGCTAATTTGAAGTTAATACCGCTTAACAGAGACAGTGAGAATCAAAGTTTTGGACAAATAAGGGGGAAACAGGTTTAGGTTGTGCTGTCCCATGACAGTGATAGCAAGAAAAGATAGTTTCAGGCTATTGGTGTTGGTCATTATTAATCAGGCTGTGAATGGGTCACTTATTTTTAAGGGAAGCAAGAGATACTAGTGAAACACCCTATACAAATAGTAAAGTCAAAAGATAAGAAGGCCCTCTGGGTAGTAGTCCAGTGGGCTGGAGTAATCACGACAAGGCCAATAGCAAAGATTAGGGTAAGCAGTTCCAGGAGACCTAGAAACTAGGACTGACAGTCCACAGGGTAGCTCAAGAAATCCCATGAACTGTGTCTTTAAACTTCAGCTTTGCATAAACTAGTCAGCTTCTGGTGGGATGAGAGCAAGGCAGTTTTCTGCAAAGCCTGGAGTCTGACTGGGTCTGCGCTAGAGTGGCCTGCATTGAAGTTGAGTCCTGAGTGGATTTTGGGAATCATGATGAGTGGTCCAAGTTGACTGGAGGTCCTAGGGTTACGCCCTCTTAAGCTTGATATGGTGGATCCAGATGGGCTGAAGTGACTCCTTTTTCCAATCTTTTATCCAGACTGAATCCCCTAACTGAAACTGGTGTACTGAATTGCCAGTGGAGATAGGTGTTTTGTTCATCAGAGAAAAAAATCTGTCCTAGTACTAGTAGCTTCTGGGCAATACAGCTGTCTCTTATCTCCTTTTTTTTTTTTTTTTTTTTTTTTTTTTTTTTTTTTGTCTTTTTCGGTTTTTATTGGTACCAGGGATCGAACTCACGACTGCCTGCTTGCAAGGCAGGCGCTTATGCCGCTGAGCTAAATCCCCAGCCCCGTGCTGTCTCTTATCTCTTTGATGTCTCCCCAAAAGTATTAATAATTAGAGGGAGCCTTCCAAACATTATCTCTTATAATGAGTAACCTGTGAGTCCAGGCACACATCTAATCCTGGGTAAGGCTAGGGGCAGCATCTTTTTCCAGGTTGCTCCTGTTCCTTAGCCAGGATGGGTTTTAAGGTCCAATTTATGTGTTCTACTTTCCCTGAGCTATGTGCTTGGTAGACTGTATGTAGGTTTCATTTAATTTTTAGAAGATCTATGAGGCCTTGAACAATTTGGGCCACAAAAGGAGGTCTGCTGTCACTCTCAATTGTTAGAGGATATCTGTATCCTAGGATAATTTCCTCGAGGGGGAGTTGGCTAATTTCTTGAGCCTTTTTTTGTCTTGGTTGGTTTAGCCTTTACCCATCCTGAATAGGTGGAGACAATCACCAGGAGGTATGTGTATCTAAAACATGGTTTTACCTGCACCCCAGTGTGGCCCCTGCCCCACCCTCACCCCACTTTCCTCCTGTCCTGGACCCTATCTCCCATTTTGTGATCCAGCCCTGGTTCTGGCTGCAGTCAGCAGATCCCAGTGAAGGGTATTGTGTGTTTAGGCCTCATTTCTTTGTCTTTCCTGGCATTTGCTGATTTCTAGTGTATACTCTGTAGTCTCTGTCTGTTTGATTCCATTCCATGGAAATAAAAAGTATGTTGTACATACTGCTGAAGAATTGTCTTGCAAGTTAAGGCTTCCCCCTTTACTATAAGACTATAAATAAAAACTTATTTTATCCTTTGTGAAAAAAAAACAAAAAAAACCAAACAAACAAACAAAAAAAAAAACATGGTTTTACTTCCAGTGAAGTATAATTGAAACAGCTCAAACAGTGAGCTGCCCATGTGTTGAATTTGCAGGGGTGGCAGTGGTCTCTGTAGAAGACTATTTTGGGCATAGGCTTGACACCTTTGATAGACAGAAGCACACAGTGATGGAAGTCTTGGGACACAGAAATATCTTTTCTCTCTCTAAAGCAGTTATTCCAAGATAAGTGTTTGGACAGCCTTCTTGTCCAAGGAGTAAGCAATCCACTGGAGTATAAAGGTTTGATGGTCTCTGAGTACACACCATCCTTCTCCATCCCTAGAAGCTCCTTCTTTTTGAGTCCAGAGATATTTTCTTCTGGAGGATACTCCCAAGAGTTATGATTTACAGTGTCTTATTGGCTCCAGTGACACTTAGGCAGGAACTCGTAATCTCTTGCAAAGGAGTGATCAAAGGCATCAGCCTTGTGCTCAAAGGTGTTAGCCTCTTCAGGGGTCAGAGTGGGGCTTATTTGAGAGTCAGACTGGAGAAAGCCTTGGAGACCTCTGGTTTAGTTTGTTTGGTGGCTTCTTTGACATTTTGTCATCCTTGTGCAGGTGCCATGCTAACCTTCTCTGCATCGTTCCAATTTTAGTATATGTGCTGCCGAGGTGAGCACATTCTTTGGTTTTTTTTTTTATTTAAAGAGAAAAAAACAAAACAAAATAGTAAAAGGGTATAAGTAATACAGAATTTCCAAAAAATAAACAGTAAGAAATCACTGGTTAACAGATTATATATTGTCATCTTAGAAATAGTCGTTTAAGTTACAAAATTAAAGCATACAAAGTGGACATTCAGACAGTGAGACTGCAAAACAGTTGTGGTCAGTGATCCAACAAAAACTTAGTGATATGGTTTTCTATCTTACACACTTAAATATACATGCAGTTATATCCTTTAGAGCACTTTCTTATAATGAATAGCTTCTTTTTTTTTTTTTTTTTTTTTTTTGTGGTACCGGGGATTGAACTCATGACCTTGCGCTTGCCAGGCAGGTGCTTATGCTGCTGAGCTAAATCCCTGGCAATTCTTTGGTGTTTTGATCTGCCAGTTGATTTCCCTTGGTAATGGGATCTGACCCTTTCTGATATCCTCGACAGTGTATAATGGCCACTTTCTAGGTTCCCACATTGCTTCTGGAAGTTGAACTATTTCCTTTTTATTTTTAATCTCCTTTCCTCCTGCTGTTAGGATTCCCCTTTCTTTGTAAAATACCTCATGAATGTCAACTATGGCAAAAGTGTACTTTTAATCTGTAAATATTGACAGTCTTCCCTTCAGCCCACCAGAGGGTTTGGATATCCCCAAGAATTATCTTTTGCAGACACCTGCCCTTTCTTCTGCCCAGCCCTTAGGAAAGGGTCCTGCTTCAGTGATTTGGTCTATGGTGGTGACAGTGCATCCCATAAGCGGTTCTCCATTGTGCATGAAGCTGCTGTCATCTGGGAACAAGGCGGCATCAGGCTGGGGAACTTGATGGTTGGTGACATCAGGCCTGCTGAAAAACAGTTCATCAGTTATTTCTTCCCACTTGTGGTCTGAGGGGCCTCTCCCATGTGTGGACAGTCTCAAGGGTGACTCTGGGCTTTTCCCAGAGCAATCCTTCATATTGAACTATTTCGGCACTTGAGAGCCATTTGCTTGTTGATCGGGGTCATGACTGAATGGGGAACTTTTATTTGAAGGTTTTGTCCCAAGGTTAGTTAACCTGTGTCTTTAATGAGAATGATAGTAGCTGCCAAGGTGCAGAGGCAGGGGGGTCATTCAGCTGCCACAGTGTCCAAGAGTTTAGACAGAGAGATCTCTGGTCTCTGCCAGGGCCTCACAGGCTGACTCAGGACTCCCAAGGCCACATGGACCTGAACAAAGAGATTAAATTCTTGGTAGCCCCACTGTAGGAGTGCTGGCAAATAGCTGTTTAATCTCTTCCAAGGCTGATTTTTGTTGAGCTTCCTACTTTAGGGGCTGATTTTCTGGTCTCATTAGGATGATGTAGAGGGGCTTAGCCTTTTCTGAAAACCCTGGAATGGAGATCCTGAAGAATCCAGCCACTCCCATGGGGAGTGGGGCTTTCATTATTTGGCCTCAGGAAAGAGCAAATAACCTGCTTTTTCTCTGTCCCCAGGGAGTGATGGCCCTCAGTACCAAACAGCAAACCGAGGGCCTGCATATCTGTGCATTTTTCCAGGATACCTTGCAGCCTGTGTCCATGAGCAGCTGGGCCATATGCTGAAATAAGCTATTATCCCTTTTTGCTAGAAAATTAAGAGTTTTAAGGGTGTTTTCATCATATAACTCCTTGATGTGGTTGAGGCAGGATATTAGGGGATGGCAGGCTGGCTGGACAATAGGAAATAACCTGTCAATTACAAAGAGCTAGAATGAAGGCTGGGTAACTGGGTGTGACCTGTAGTCACAGGACACTGCCAAATCATGGACACATGTGCACAGCAACTGCTGATACATTGGACCTGAGGAGATATAAAAGAGAGACAGCAGTCAGACATTGACTTTGGCGCCACTGCTATCTTCCTGTTCTTGCAGTACGAGACATGTCTTTACTTTTCCCTTTTTGTTCTTCTTTTTTCTCTTCTTCCTCCTCTTCCTTGTTTACATTTTCTTTTTCCTTCTTTTACTTTAATGTTTTCATATTTATCATCTGTCCCAACCAATTCTTTTCATGGGTCTGCAAGAGCCTAGAACTCTGGGCACCGTGCCACCCGGCAACAGGGCCATTAATGAGGTCATCTATGTACAGTAATAGGCCTCCTTTTCCAAATTTTAAGTCTGTTAGGTCTTGAGCTAAGGCCCATGCAGTCAAGTAGTAGTTATTTCTAAAACCTTGAAGCAAGACTGTCTAAGTATACTGTTGGTGAGGCTCTATTTGGGAATCTTCCCATTCTAAGGCAAACAACTATTGAGAGCTAGGATTCAAAGGAATAGAAAAGAACACATTTTTAAGATCAAGGACAGAAAACCAATCAGTGTCTAGGGATCTGTGCTAGAAGGGAGTATAAGTCTGCACTAGTAGGTGAACAGTGCATCGTTACCTCATTGATGGCTCTGATGTATTGTACTAGGCAATTTGTATTAACAGCTTGATGCCTTAAGCATGAGTGAAATGGGTGAAATGCACAGGGATTGGCAAGGACTAGAAAAATGTGCACCAAAATTTATCAATAATGGGTTTAGCCCCTGCCTAGCTTCTCTCTTAAGGCAATTACGTCTTTTTTGTTTTGTTTTGTTTTGTTTGTTTGTTTTTTGTCCTTTTTTTGAGACAGGGTCTCGGTATGCAGTTCAGGCTGGCCTTGAGCTCACATTGTAGCCCAGGCTGGTCTCCAACTCACAACAATCCTCCCACCTCCCCCGGCTGACAGTTAGGTCTTTTATTAAGGTATAAATTAAGAATCTTCAGGCAAATGATCATTGGAGTGTCCTTGACAGCCCTCTTTGGGATGCTATCATACGATACTCAAGGATCAACTTGCAGCAGAAAATTGGGCCCAATGGGGTCAGGTTGGCTGGGTCTCTAGTAAGTAGGACACAGTTTACCTGAGGTTTGAATGATACAGTAGCACTGAATAGGAAAGTACAGCTCTTCCAGTTACTCATGGGGCTCTCTGCTGCTACACCAAGGCAGCATGGGAAAGGAAATCTAACTGGTCATTCAGAGTGGAGGTAAGAAAGCTGACCATCTAACTTATTCAAGGCCCACAATAAGTGAGGACAGGATGATAACTCACCCTGGTAAGATATTTCAATTAAGATACTTCAGTGTCCCGAGGAGTATGATTTGTTTGCCTGCTGCATCTATAGTCACCGATGGCTATGGGAATATGAGTGTGCTGGAGACCCACATAGATGACTCACAGGCACCATCGTTCACTTTCCTGGCCACCATGGTGATGGATGCCCATATCCCTCTCTGGGAATGAGTACAGCTCCTCCTCCAATGTCAAGGGCCTTTTGGTGTTCTGACAGGTCTCATAAGGATTTGGTGGCATTAGAGGGCAATTCTTGCCCAGTGTCCTGGTTGCTTGTTCCTGAATCACTCTGACTTGCTTCCAACACTCTTTAGATTACCTGTTTCACTTAGTGCTGCAGGCTTCATCCATTGCAGCGAGCATGGCTTTAACATGCCTTTTTATCTTATTCAATTCCTGTTTGTCCTCTAGTTGGTCATAATTAATAAAAGCAAATCAGTCACACTGATCAACTGACCTTTCCCTGTGGGAGTAACTGGACCTTTCTCCTAGTATCTGGAGCTGTATAGCTAATAAAATGCTGTCCTAAAATAATATGACCTTTTCTAGGCTATGAGTTTAAACTGTATATTTATGGAATGCCTCTTCAAGCTGGAAAGCAGCTGGATTTTCATTAGAGCTCTAATAGACCTGAGCTCACCAAAGCTTACACGTTTGGGCATCCCCTGGTGCATATCCACTAAGATGACCCAGAGGTATAACCTCTGTTTGGTTTCTCCACCCTGTAGGGAAAAGAGGCATTTAGGGAGGGAAAAGATAGGCTTTATTAAAAACCAATAGAGAGGGGGCTGGGGATTTAGCTCAGCAGTATAAGTGCTTTCCTTGCAAGTGTGCAGTCGTGAGTTTGATCCCTGGTACCGATCAAAACGAAAAAGACAAAAAAAATAGAGAAATTTATTAAAAGCAGTTTCTGACTCTACACATAGGCTCCACAGTTATAACACCTAGACAAAGGAGAGAGAGAGGAGAGAGGGAGAGGAAGTGAGGGAGGGAGAAAGAGAAGCTAGATTGAGAGAGGCACAAGGTAACAGAGTTACCATAGGAATTTATCAGGAAGACAACAAAATGTGAGAAAGCCAGCAACACAGAAGCCCAGGAAAACCAGCCCCACCCCCACTGATAAAATGCAAAGGACACAAGGAAGGGGCAGCACCTAAGGACTCTTACTTAGCATGTAAAACAAGCATGCACACATGCACACCTACACATACACACATCACTGTGCGATGTTTCACACGTGTATACATGCGCCCTTTGCTTATTCGTTGAGTCTACAAAGTCCCCCACTTGCCTACTTGCCCATCGCAGAGGGACAGGAAGAAATCAAATGGCCAAAAGACATGCGCCCAGGTCAGGATCAAAGAGCCAAAAGGGCCAATCAAATGGGGACCACGTCCAGGTGCCCACATAGGGTATGAGAAAATTACTAGCCCTGGGGCTGGGGATTTAGCTCAGCGGCATAAGCACCTGCCTTGCAAACTGGCAGTCGTGAGTTCAATCCTCGGTACCGATAAAAAAAAAAAAAAAAAAAAAAAGACAAAAAAAAAGAATTTATAAAAAAAAAAAAGAAAGAAAGAAAATTACTAGCCCTAAATAAAAAGATCCAGGGATAAGAGCTTGCAGGTATTCAACTCAGATGCCCCTTACCCTCTGTAGCTGTTGATTTTCTTTCTTTTCCATGCTTTTTCCAAATAAACTGTCCTCTGTTATTTTAAGCTCTGCCTCTTTAATTCACTGCTGAGGCTGAGAGTTTATGTTCCTGGCAATAGACTGTTCCAGAAGAGGAGTGGTGCACACATCTTGCCCTACCACAACCGTCCCCTTATTATAATCCCACTGGGCCCCTCTTGGA